GAAAAAACATTTTTTTTTGAAAATTTATTGGCTATAATAATTGCATGGCAGTAATAACTGTATTCAGCAATAAGAATTAGTATCTCTATGAGCAAATTAACGCAACTCCTGACTAACTTTGAAATTACATCCATGTTTTTAATTAAGGTACAGTGGTGTATCGCTTACCAATACGTTACATAATATATCCGAGTTTATGCAGCTCTAATAAGCCCTGTTCAGTCATTTTCTGTAAAACTGAATAATGAACCAGTTGAGCATACCATCATGTGCTGTTAGCTCTCCAGGTACCACTCCCACGTCTGTTTCCTGCAGAATTTATGCATTTAATGATTGAGATATTCTTTGAGGCCTACTAACTTGTTCATCAAAAGGCAATAAATTATCCTCATGTCGATCTTGGTATTTCACAGCTTTAATTCACTACATTAACTTGACCATTATATTGAAAAAGATCTAAACTGTGAATACAGCCACACCTTACTGATGACTTGAAAAAATTGCCGCCAACTCTATGGAAAGCCTGCCAATAACAACTCCATCATGTGGGCAATTCAAAAGGCATTTATTTTTCAGAAAAAATAATCGTTTCGTATTTTGATTTCAGAAACTTGATAACATCTTATCATGGCCGGCCTCCTTTGCTGATGGCTTTCATCATGCAATGCAGAGATTTTCATTTAACATGCATCTACCTGTTTTCTGCTCCTGGCAAATTTCAGATACAATGTATCTTTTGATACAGATAAGTAAATCATTTTTCCCTGCGGTATTTTCTCACTGCTTGTTTTCTTTACAAATGTTCTTTTATGTGGCTGCCCATAGCTTTTCTGGTTGTGAGCATTTTTTATCGTAATCTTCCAGTCGTGGGAGATTTGAAATTACAGGAGATTAACCTAATTTCACAAAGATCGAATTCACACGGAATAATCGTTCTCGTTAAAAATCCATTCTGTTTCCTTTTTCGAATTTACTTAATTTTTTTCAATCCATTTTCTCAAAGACAAATTGTTGGAGTGTCTTAGTTAAGTGCAAGAGGAAAATTTCGAGGTGTATTTCTAATGATTTACGTATTCGAAATTTGTTTGAAAAAAAAAAAAAAAAATGTATTTCTTAACACACATAAATTAATAACTGCTGATCAATAAAGAATGATCTACTACGGGGAGATGTTTTGTATTTACCGTATTAACCCGCGAATATTACAGGTACTTTTTTGGCTAATCCTTTCCCTTTAAAATATTGACTCGCGCTAAATTCGAGGTCCAGGCAACGGAATGTACCAATTCTTCTTATTAGTACGCCTATGCCTTTACATTACTTAATTTTATTACCATGAATGTAACCTGCGTTTTTAATTATTTTAAATAATTGCTTATTTGACTAAACTATATTTTCTTTGAATTCTTTTATGTAAAAAAGGAATGGATCGCATTAAACAGGTCCTTCCGCTCCCCTATCTATCTTTATAAAAAAAATTGATGTCGCGTTACATTCGGGCTAAAACCGTAATTCTAACCGAAATATTTTTTGTGTTCCGAATGCTTGTATCCTTACTTTAATAAGTATATCTTAATACTTCTTGATTTGTTACAAAACTTGCTCCAAATGTTTATTTTTTCTGCCTGACTTTCAACAAAATTAATCACGTTCTCACCTTGGCCATTTGGTAGTCCGCTATCACCGCTACTATAATTTATTAAAAAATTATTAATGTGTATGTGTGCCTTCTGTTTTACCGAAAGTCTTTGATTTCAGATAACAAGATAGGTTGGGTTTGCCGAAGTGATGGTAATTACCAATACATTAATACAGCAGGAAAAAAAGTCGCGATGGCTAATTTCATCCTAATGAGGTTTTGTAAGCCACGGATCAAAATCTCCCGAAGCCCATCTATGGTGAGGTGACGTCCATGCTGCGGGCTTGGAGCAGGACAACTGGGCGCGGCTGACCACATCAACAAAATGAGCAATTCTGTGATGAAATTGATCTCGAAATTAATGACTAGGGCCAAGGTATTAAAAGAAGGCTATATTCCTGAACTGAGTATTGAGATGGAAGCGCTAAAAGCATGTTTACTGGAATTTCAAATGAGCCGCGATATGACTTATGAGGCCTTCGAATTGCCTCTCAACGCATGAAACAAATCGCGAGGTGGAATGAAATGAAAATGTAATGAAAGAACGTCAATGAGAAGAATATAGGATTAAGGAAAATATTAATTAAATTTTTGATTAAAGTCCTTTCAAGGCCACTCGTTATATTGAGAAGACGATACAGAAGTTATTTTACTTGTTTATAAGGAAGAAAAGAAATGAGACCTTTTTTAATCATTCGTTATGTAATCAAAAATAATTTCAGAAATTTTACTGCGTATAGTTCGAAATAATGAAATATTATATATAATTCAAAAATATTAAAATGGGAAAGGAGACGTAGAAACTGATTTGATTAATGCAGAGCAATGGATGAATTTTTGGGGGGAGGGGAAAGAGTTTCCTTTTCTTAAAATTTATTTTTAAAAATGAAGTTTTGATACGTATTTCCCATGAAAACAATGAAGGAAAATAAGCAGTAAAACATTGTAATAAATTTCAAGTTGGGAGAGCTGAATTATTAGCTCCTTTCATTTGTTCGATAAAAATTTAGTAAGTATGCGAATACATTTTTACTTCAATTAAACTTTTATAAAAGACAAAATGATTAGTTTCAGTATTAATTCTTGAAAATGTACAAAAAAGAGTATTTATTTCTTCTAGAGCTCAAATTCTGTGTTTTAAAAGATAATGATGAAAACATATTTGTTTTATTTGTTAATTTAAAAAGCATTACCATGGACGATTTTCGTAACTTTCTTAATTTGACACAGACGTTGCACCTCTAATTTATAAGTTAATTCGGATAAGTATTAGAAATAAATAAACAAAGAAGAGTACTAGTTGATAATAATGAAGATAGCATCCCCTTTTTTTTTCTTGGTAAATATTAAAATATAATTTTAATAGGGGGTCGAGAATATTTTAACCGCGGTTGGTGTTTTTAATATTTCATTTTAATGTAACAAATAAATGTGAATAAAAACTTTTTTCATGCTCATAAGAAGGATAAATTGGTTTAAATTCTTTTATAATCATCTGAAACACATAAAGCATTTATGTGAAAAAATGACATGAAGATAGAGAAGTTTTAAAGAGGTTTTCTTAGAAATGAAGAAGTTTTGTAATGGATTCTCACATGTATTTTCCTTCAACTAACCTTCTGGTTTTCCCTATGATATTATTTGATTTGAGAACCTCAACTCGTGAATAAACCAAGAAACAGAAATCTGTGCACATGACATATGTATCAGAAGATTAAACAGTCGTCGGTTAACTGAGATTGGAATTTGATCCAATATATTTGTTACTGATTCGGACCCATTTATGCGGTTTTGTGGTTAAGTAGAATTTTTAAGTTATTTTTGGCTGAAGACGCGAGAAAGTTTTCACGCGCTCCACATTCGTCGTACAAATACCCATTTTTGATTATTCTTAGATAACAACAAAAAAAAGCTTAAAGATCTGGCTGTCTGATTATTTAGTTGACTCATTGCTAGGTGAATTTCAAAGGATCAAATCCAAAATAACGAAGTTACGGTATTTATACAAATTACAGTTGATACAAGTAGATTACAAATTGTACGAAGTACAATAATATCATCCAATTTTTTCCCATTTAAAATTCCTCCTTTAAAGTCTGGAGACGAGATTAAAGGTACGTTGTTTTAGATACGCTTTAGGCCACATATAGCATATAATGACATGCATTTTTATAGTCACTGACTCTGAATTTAAAAAAAAAATCAGAACGTGCCTTGTCTGGATTTAAATTTAGTCATAGATAAAATTGGAAATGTAACGTTTGCCAAATAAATGTACCTTAAGGCTTCCTCTATCAGACACCAGAGATCAAATCCAAACTCGCTCATATCAAGATTTTTATCGGTTTCGTAATCAAACCATGCTTAGTTACCAATACATAGTTATAAAGCAACCATATACATTCACTAGATCTTAAGACGGACTGTATCGAACTTGCCGGACTAGATTCATTTGTCTACTAATATATCATAATATAGTTAACAGAGAAGAAAGAGGTAAGCAACGCGAGTCTGGTGAAATAACCATTCGGTCATTTAGGACAGGTTAAGGTGCAGTTCCTTTTTTTTTTCAGATGTTTCTTCTCGTAAAATTTTGCTAATGCTAACGAGATATTAAGGAAATATAAAACAAATCTGTAATTCTTATTGAAAGATTAGCTCTCTAAGGCAGGAATAACTTAACATACCAAAAAAAAAAAAAAAAAAAATGGGGAGAATCGTTCCACTCTCTCCAGTAGCGGGATTCGAACTCACGTTTGCCAGACAACTGAGGCTTAACATTTCCTCTATCAGACAACACCGTGTCGACAGTCGTTTACATTCGCTATAATCAGTGGATTAGCTCAAGACACTTATGAAACAACCATAACAACAACATAACTCTACAAGCAAACAAGATAACACCCGCTTGGTTTCAACGAATCTATAACATAATTAATAGAGATAGAAGCGCTAATAATTACAAATTTGACTCTAAAACCATTCGGCCATCCTGTTTCGGATCGAATATCGCTGTTCATTACTGTTAGTATCACAAACCAGGAAATTTGCGATCTTGATTACTCGTCAACGGTGGTTTCTAGGTATAAAATAACAAATCAATCCACCTGGTCATTACATTTTTAACATACAATTTTGTGTACGAGAGAACAATGTACCTTCTAAGATGTTGACCTCTCCTCACACCTGAATATTACTTTAAAAACCATGTTTCTTTAAACGAAAAAACGGTCTTCGTCAAACTCCGACGAGATGTAATGAAACCAAATCTGTAAATTTTAGTTTTTTACAAAGAGATGAGCTGTATATAAAGCAGGAATAACTTAAAATGCAAAAAAAGATCGGTCAACCATTCCACTCTCTCCAGGAGCGGGATTCGAACCCGCGTTTGCCAGATAACTGTGGCTTAACGCTTCCTCTAACGGACAACACAGAGGCGGCAGTCGTTTCGACTCTCTAATCTTAGCTCAAGACACACTTCACTCTCATGATAAAACACAACAACATAACACTACAACTATACAAACTAGATTAGATTTAACCAAACTAATACATAATTAACAGAATTAGAAGCGCTAAGCAACACAAGTCTAGAGCCATAACCACTCGGCCATCCTGGACATATCGAAGGGCGGTTATTACTTTTTCAGATGTTTTCTCCTCGTAAATTCAAACGTTTTGTTAATTGGTTGCTGAGAAAACTCCCATTATAAGAATATTTTAATTTAAAAACTGGGTTCGCTATTTACATACACAGTTGCAACTAAAAAATAAAAACATTCGTAACCTACCTACTTAGTTTATTATTATTACTATACCCAGAGACTTTTATTTCGCCATCCAGAGAAATAAGAGTTCTTCCAGATACTGGGGAAAGATTTCTTTTAATCACTTGAATGGAACCATCGTAGACTGAAGTGTGACCAGTTATGATCACTGCATTCAATAAAATATTATCTGTACAATTTTGATTGATTCTATACGTCTATATGCATAAAACTCTATAATGTCTTTACTTATATATTTAATCCATTTTTCTTCCAAAAGAGCTGCTAGGGCTTTCAGCACCTGAGGGCAAGTGATGGTTTCACATACTCCACCAAAATGCAATGGGTATGGGGAAGAATTATTTCATGTTACGTGGTAAGAAAAATTAAAGGGACTATATTAAAAGTGCTATGACTTCACAAGAGCTTAAAGTAAAGAGGATCAAAGCTGATACCTCTTTATGTGGTTCTAAAACGACAACAAATTTTAACGAAATCAAACTGAGGTGTCTTATGATCCTTGAAAGCTGACCACCGAAAATGTGAGCCAACATTTGTGGATAAACAAACCAGTCAATTGTGAAAAAGTAAATTCAAAGAAGTGAATTCATCCTTCTACAACAATTATATATAGAGTAGTTTTAACGTCCACTTCATCAATAGCTTCTGACACCGATAACCACTTCTTCCAATTTGCTGATCAAGTCGTCCACTGATAGTTTTATGCTTTCTTTATGTTATAACTGTTTTTTTTTAATACCAATAAATCGTGCCTTGTGTGGTTTCCTGAAATAGTCAGTTGCGTGTGTTGATATCCTACCTTCTGACGTATCTGTAGTTAGTTTGGTGATTACCAGTTGATCATATGTCCAAAACTAATAACTTACGGTATTTAAAAAAAAAACAGCATATGATTTTTCTTGAACACATCCAATTTACAATAATTTATATTATTAAAATATAGATAACTGGTTGATTAATTGTTAGAGTGAGGAAATTTCTATATGGTTGCAACTTCGATCTATTCCTTCGAAATATTGTAATCACAATTAGTTGAACTAAATTAAGAAGATAGTAATCGTACCTTAAAAATATTTAAAAATTGGAAGATTTTTTAATTTGTATACGAGGGCTGTCTTTTTCCAAGGAGCTATCGGTCGCGAAACGAAAATACCCCTAAAGATTTGATGACGCTGTGAGCAGACGTGTTGAGCGTTGTCTTTAGTGTGTCCATCGATCACGTCAGGTCGCAGTTGACAGTTCTGAGCGCGCAGCCTCATAACATGCCTCGAACAATAGTCTTCCGCCAAGTGTGAAGTATGCCTGTCATTCGATTTCTTAATGCTGAGAGGAGCAATGTAGCCGAAATTCATCGACCAATGAGTATGTGTACGGAAAAACTTTCATGAGCGACTGTAAATTGCGGTATTGATGCAGGAAGATGGACGTACAGAAGTTCATTATGTAGGTGGACAGGGAAGAAAGCGAGTGTCAACCGACGATCTTGTTCAACGAGTGGATCAGGCGATTCGAGAAAATCGCTTTGCCATCGTGAGTGAGAGACTCCAGTATCGCAAAATCCGTGCGATATGTGTTCCGAAGATGTAGTCCGACCACCACTAAATACAACGAATAGGTGTCACCTTAATGTTACTCGGCTCCACAATAATGAAGAAGATTTTTTGAATAAAATCGTTACAGGGGACGAAACATGTTTTCGTTTCGAAACTGAAGAAACAAAAGAGCACGTCGAACAGTGGGTATATTCTCATTCCCCGAGTAACCAAAGAAGTTCAAGTGAACCTTTTCCAGCAAAAAGTGTATGGCTACTGTGTTCTGGATTCAAAAAGGTGTTCTCTTGATGGCATTCATGGAACGTGGGACGACCATCATTGTAGCCTCGTTCAACGTTTCTCTTGAACGACTACGAAGGACAGCTCAGAACAAGCAAAAAGGAATGCTGTCATCAAGTATCATATTGTCCTTCTTCATGATAATGCGCTGCCGCGGTCTGCACCGGCAACAAAAACGCTCCTTCAGCGTTTTCAGTAGGACGTGTTTAATCACCCACCTTACAGCCTGAACTTATCTTCCTCCGATTTCGATCTTTTATCTCACATGAAACGTTGACTAGGAGGGCAGAAGTTTGGCTCAGGTAAAGAGCTGAAGACTAGTGTAGAGAATTGGCAGAAAGTCCAGGTACCTGCCTTCTATGACGTGGGTATTGGAAAGTAGGTACCACACTACAACAAATGTCTCGGACGGAGCGGCGACTATGTATAGAAGTAGCTTGAAGGTGTATCTAAATGTTCCAAATAAATCAGTTCTGAGTTTCATTATGGTTTTCATTTCACGACCGATCGCACCTCGGAAAAAATGGCTCTCGTTTATGAGAAAAAAAAAATTACCCCAGTAAGAGAGAGAAAACGGAGTTGTTTTTTTCTCATAAAATTTAAGGTTGTTTTCTGATAAGTTTGATGAATATCTTGTTCCCTGAATTTTTCTAAGAAATAAATGGTTATTTTAAGACTAAAACTATACATATAGATTTATTCAATAACTTGTAATAGATGTCATAGAATTGATTTGTTTAATTAATGTTTCATTACAGCTGTATCATAGACTGTTTGCTACAAACTATCAAATGGTACCTACTTTTTAAATATCCACCCCACACTGATGTAGGGGACTTTGAGGTTCAATAAGATCAAATGTATAAAAATCATAAATGTTTCCATTCTCAATTTCTTGAATATCTGGCTTCATACCAGTTGCTTTCCAAAATATCTACACTGCTTCAAAACAAGCATGAAACTCAGTTTTACTTTTTAAAGTAACTACTTTAATTTAAAGGGGGGGGACTTCTCTTTTTTAATGGTACTTTTTAATGTGAAATATTTTTAACAGGTGCTTCAACTGGAATAAGACTTCGAAATAAAATCATCTCACACAAATGTTCAAAGCTTTAATCATATGACTACTTTAGTTATTATTTGGGTGTTTTTTCATGGTAATGCGGTTCATGACTTCTAATGTCATAAACCGCGAGTCATGTTCAGAAGCGATCAGTGTTTGTTATTTTTAGTATTGTTTCTTTGAAAACTATATAATAATTTATTTATTCATTTATTTGTAATTTTAAGATTTTTTAATATGAACCAAGATTGCAATATCCAATATGTTTTTTAAAAAAAGCAGAATATTTCCTTCGAAATAATTTATTCGTTTCCAATTCCTGATCACTGTAGCCTTTTTTAAATGACACATGCTACGTTTGTCACTTACCATAAATTTAGTAATTTGGTTAACAATTTGGTTTGACTTCAATAATCAATCAATTACTTCGGTTGTTATAGAATGCCTCTTTAAGAACGAGAACAATTAATTTCATTCGTAATTAATCCAGGAGCTTGGTAATGGTAAACTATAGTAGGATTATTTCAGTTAAAAATTACAATTTAAAAAAGCATGCAACATTTTCAATGTCTGCTTTATTTTATTTATCAAATGCGTATTTGGAGTGCTTTCTTTCTCTCTCTCTTTTTTCTTCATAAATATTTTCATATTGGTAATAACTCGTCATCTCTCAGAGCACCCACTTATTCCATCTATTTCCCCACCCATCCCTTTACAAATAGCAAGGTTTTCAGAGCAAACCACGTTTTTTCGTCGTATTTCAAAACTTTCCTTGATTATTTTTCTTGTTCACCCAGTGCAAGTAAATCAAGACTAACATAACACACATACTTTCGAGAAGAACAGTATCACTCTTAACCCAGTGTAACCGATCTTGGGTGTGATACACCCAACTCAAAAAAAAAAAAAAAAAAAAGGTGCAATGTTTTTGTTAATACATTTGGCTGGTATTATTCTCCTTCGAATAACACGCATTTAATTCTTTTTATTGTTTAACGTGCTTTAGAAATTTTATTGCCCACTAATAGTAATAAATAAAACGAATCCTATGTAATTATGTAAAATAAAATCATTCTTGTGAAAAGCGGTTTTATCACACCCACATATCACTCACCGCGTGCGCGTCGAGGTAAAGAGAAAGAGGTATTGCGCAAGTTGGCTGCGCGCTGGTTTAATTAGATTTTTGGAGTGGAAGTGAAAGTATTTTTTACTCGCCCATAATGTACTTTTGAGCTTGTTTTCATTCGTGTTTCTAGTTCTCGGTTTCCAAAATACCATTTTCTTTCGTTCTTACGTAAAAATTGTTATGAGTTCTGAGGTCAGATATTAATTAAATGATTTAAGAATAAAACTTGAAATCAGGTGAAAATTTGCATGCTCTTTTGTGAGTTCTCTTTTAATTTATCGTTGATGGCTTCAACTCGAAATTACGAGGGGTATCGTAAAGTTTTAAATATTGCTAATAAATAACCGAGGTATCTGAATAAAATTTATTTTGCGTATTAATTGATCCTTATGAACATAATGTTGTAAATTACAACTATTAACATTGATTTCTTTGGTTTCAGGAAAACGTACATTGAAGTAACCGGGAGTAGCGCACGATTTTGATTATTAACCCGGAATATCAAAAAGTTGTAATGATTATTAAAAATAATCGAGGTTGAAACTTAATTTATATTAATTATTTTTAAAATTTCTCTACATAGTCACGCTCCAGAGTTATATATTTATCCCAGGTTTCTTGAGCTTTCGAAAGCCGTCATTGTAAAGAATTATTTATATATATATATATTAGTCTTTCTGAAATTACTTCAATCTAAGGTTTCCGGAAACCAAACAAAATCAAAATGAATAGCTGTAATTTATAGCATTATGTACATATGGAGAAATTAAATCAAAGTTGTAGACTTTCCGTGCATGATGTATATTTAAAA